GGTTTATACGGTATCATTTTTGAAGTCCTTTTCGACAAGACTTCATGCAAGATGCTGTCCTGGTCTCTGGCGACGCCTCAMTGATCATGGAYTAACTCGAGTGAAACCTACACGTAGAGGTTGCCGTGGCGGACGACGCAGGTTCTGCGGACTCTATCGACAATTTAAAAACCAATCCTTTGCTGAATGTGTAAATTCTTCAGTTTGTTATGCGGTGTCTCGAGATCTGGTAGATGTAGCTAATTTGCATAGTGCTTCGAGTAAAGCATTAAATATTCAAGTTGACAGCTTGACTGAACGTTTTGATCCTCCTGGGGATATACCTGTATCATACTCCGCTCGTGGCAGATGCCAAAACAATCTTATTACTATAAAACGTACACCTCTGTCTAGGCACATTCAACAATCCAATCTGATGTTGTGCCATGCTAATGTTAGATCTGCAAAAAGCAAGTCTGCTGATTTACTGGACTTTATTTACAGTAATGATATTGAYTTATTTGCCATCACTGAAACCTGGGTAGCGGATATTGACACTGCTGCAATGCTGCAATGAGTTTACTCCTGATATGCATAACTTCTACTATCATAACCGCTCAGGACGCAGAGGTGGTGGAACTGGGCTCCTTGCGAAAAAGAACATCACAGTAAAAAAGATCGATGCTGGTGAGAAGAAGTCATTTGAATTTTCTCAGTTGAATATTCATCATGACAACTTCAGAATGCGCTTGCTAATTATCTATCGCCCTCAGTACTCTGCTGATCATCCAGTGACGATCAATACATTTCTACAAGAGTTTGCTGAATACCTGGAATSTATTATACTGTCACCTGAGCCTGTAATTATTGTAGGAGATTTCAACATTCACGTTGATGTCAAGGATGATCCTGACGCAATGAAATTTGCTGATCTATTGTCGTCCCTGGGTTTAAATCAGCTTGTTTCTGAAACAACTCATATACATGGACATACCCTAGATCTGGTTATTTCAAGGAAGTTTGACAATGTTATTGAAGACAGCCCTATCATCGGTCGATATTTATCTGATCATGCTGCTGTGTTATGTCGTCTAAATCAGATCAAACCAACAGCCTCTGTCAAGCAGATATCGTATAGGAAAATTAAATCATTGGATGTTGACATCCTTCGTGAGGACCTTATGAAAACTGAGCTTTGCAATAGAGCATTCACTGACTTAGACGAACTGTCATCACTCTATAATACCACTTTGAAGTCATTACTTGATGTGCACGCTCCTTTGATTACGAAGATGGTTGTTTATCTAGGAAATGTCTTCCGTGGTTTAATAATGAAATCAAAACATCACTTAGAGCTAGAAGGAAAGCTGAAAGAAGATGGAGAGCTACAAAATCTKCTCTTGATTTTGGTACTTTCAAATTAATGAGAAATCGCACTACTTACTTGATGAATATTGCACGTCGTGAGTATTATGCAAATCACATTGCAGAGAATGGAAATGATCAGCGCAAATTATTTCAAACAACAGCATCGCTGCTCTCAGCACCAAAACAAGCTAATTTTCCAGCCAACATTGACCCGAAGGCTCTCGCTGAAGATTTCGGAAGATTCTTTGTGCGTAAAATTGAGGACATCAATTGTCGTCTTGATGGAATGTCTCATTCCCAGCCATCAACAATCGTGGATACCTGCCGGCCTGCTGATACTGATATATCCCTGAACGACTTCAAACAACTCACCACTGATGATGTCAGCAACTTAATCAGCAAAGCTGGTAAAAAATCTTGTATCTTGGACCCTATGCCATCGTCCTTAATTGTTTCTCTGCTTGATGTTCTCCTACCGGTGATTACTGACATACTGAATTTATCTTTCTCTTCTTCTCATTTCCCTGATGCTTGGAAAGAAGCACTGGTTATACCAACTCTGAAAAAAACTGGTCTTGATAACTCCTTTAAGAATTTTCGTCCAGTTAGCAATCTACCATACATTTCAAAGCTATCTGAAAGAGCTGCTGTTACTCAAATTACTGAGTATATGATGGATAAGGATCTACAATCAACACTTCAATCCGCATATAAGGCA